AGGACAGGCTGAGAGAGTTGGGCTTGTTCAGCCTGGAGAAGAGAAGGCTGCGGGGAGACCTGATTGCAGCCTTTCAGTACTTAAAGGGAGCCTATAGGAAAGATGGGGACAATCTTTTTAGTAGAGACAGCAGTGACAGGACGAGGGGTAATGGTTTTAAACTAAAACAGGGTAGGTTTAGGCTGGATATAAGGAAGAAATTCTTTACAATGAGGGTGGTGAAACACTGGAACGGGTTGCCCAGAGAGGTAGTGGAGGCTCCATCCCTGGAAACATTCAAGACCAGGTTGGACAGGGCTCTGAGCAACCTGATCTAGTTAGCGGTGTCCCTGCTCGCTGCGGGGGGGTTGGACTAGATGACCTCTAGGGGTCCCTTCCGACCCAAAACTTTCTATGATTCTATGATTCTAACTTCCCTGTCGGAATACAAGCCAAATCTGTGTGGTATAGAAAGGGAACAGTGTTGCTGCTGTTCCTGAATTCTCTCTGGAGACATGTTATTTCCAATCTGCCTCTCACTGGTGTAAGAGCTCCTAAGTAGGGGGAATATGTTTTCTCTTGTTAGGAGGTTTTGCTAGTTAGCTGTTGGACTAAGTGTGCATTGTCGGTGGAGGCTGTTTTACCTCAGGAGACTATGCCACATTCACCATTGAAAAGAGTTAATTTAATTTTTTTTTTTTTCCTCTCTGGTTAACGTCTAGAAAAATGGATGATGATGATGATGACATTCCCCAGCTTTCATCCCATACGTTGGCTGCCCTCCAGGAGTTCTATTTGGAACAGCAGCAGAAAGAGGGCATGAAGACCTCCCAAGGGTTTAATCAATATTCCGTTGGCTCAATAGAAGAAGACTGGGTAAGAAACTATAAACTCCAGTGTCTGAAGCACAGTTAGATGAGTAGCCTTTACCAGGTTTCTTTTGTGGATGGATAATGAAACCAAAAAGGGGAACACTCAAGACGTTCCTAGAGTAGCAAAATCAAACTACTCATGGACAGTAACACTGTAGGGATATTTGCTTTAATAGTAAATCTGGGTGTAGTTGTCTGTTCTGCATGTGCGTGGGGGGTACAAATGGAAATTACATGGAGAGGGAATAAAGCTACCCAGAGAAGCATCTGTCCCTTCTGGAAATATTAACTCCAGCCTGGCATGCAAAGGTAGTAGAGATTTTTCTCTGAGTTTGCAACAAACACAGTGTAACAAGATGAAGTGATCTTTCCTTTCACATCATATTCTTTCTGTGTTTTATTTCTCTGTTTTTGTGGATGGCTGTTTTGCTGCTTTTTTTTTCTTCTGATAGACTGATTTTTTATTTCTCTCTGGGTTGGCTTTTTTCTTTTACTCTGCATTTTTCTGATCTCTTCTGATTCAGTACTTTTATCCTTTATTACTTTCTATACTGTCACTTTTCAAGTTCCTTTTTCCTCTTCTGGTAAAGTAACGCAATTTAAGAGCACATAAATATTCTGCATCTGCACACTGGATCTGAACTAATCTCATCGGTGATTTTGTGTTACTTGATTTTCCTGACACTACAGTAAATGGTTTGCAAACACACAGTGTAAGCTACCTGCTGCATGTCGCTGGACTGCAGAAGTAAAAAGACTGTCAGGAAAGTAGTCACTTTTCCAGTTTGTGAACTGGGAAGTTGCTATGGATTTTGGTCACCAGAACTAACTGTACATAGCACAGTCAGAAGATTTGATGTTGTTTGTAATTATGCATTATCTTTCTCAGCAACTGAGCCAGTTTTGGTACAGCGATGAAACTGCATCATGCCTGGCTAATGAAGCGGTTGTGGCAGCTGGAGAAGGTGGCAGGTAGGTTTTAATAATTATGTTGTAGATTTAACATGTCTTTTCTGTGAATATTTCATTTCTACTGTGTCGACAGAGCATGCAGTTTAATTCATTATTCACAGAATCACAGAATGGAAGGGGTTGGAAGGGACCTCTGTGGATCATCTGGTCCAACCCCCTTACCAAAGCAGGATCACCTAGAGCAGGCTGCACAGGACCTCGTCCAGGCAGGTCTTGAATATCTCCAGAGAAGGAGAATCCACAACCTCTCTGGGCAACCTGTTCCAGTGCTCTGTCACCCTCAGAGGGAGGAAGTTCTTCCTCATGGTCAGCTGGAACTCCACAGAATCACAGAATTACAGAATGGTAGGGGTTGGAAGGGACCTCTGTGGATCATCTAGTCCAACCCCCTGCCAAAGCTGGGTCACCTACTGCAGGCTGCACAGGACCGCATCCAGGTGGGTTTTGAATATCTCCATCCACAACCTCCCTGGGCAGCCTGTTCCAGTGCTCCGTCACCCTCAGAGGGAAGAAGTTCTTCCTCATGTTCAGATGGAACTTCCTGTGCTTCAGTTTGTGCCCGTTGCCCCTTGTCCTGTCACTGGGCACCACTGAAAAGAGTCCCCCGTCCTCTTGACACCCACCCTTGAGATATTTACAAGCATTTATAAAGTCCCCTCTCAGCCTTCTCTTCTTCAGGCTGAACAAGCCCAGCTCCCTCAGCCTTTCCTCATGGGACAGATGGTGCAGTCCCCTCATCATCCTCGTAGTACTCATTGTACTTCATCTTTGTTTAATTGAGATATCGCAGAAATGCTTTCCTATTATTTAATTAATAGTTCATAATGATCTTACCATTTAGCATTTCATTGAATGTTGTAGGCTCTGCCTTGTAAAAGTTTACTATGAATCTTTTTATTTTTTGAGAAATACAAAGCGCTCCAGAGCATATTAATGATTAGTAATTCTTTTCTCTGTTTTTATACAGTGTTTCTGTAGAACAAATGGGAAAACTTTGTTTTCTTCCTGTTTCTGTAAGGAGTCGTTTTCAATTTTAAGTTTTCAAGTATATTTCCTTGCTTTTCTGAAACAAGATTTTTTCTGTCATTAAGCAGCGTGTCGTTGTGCAGCACGGTGGTTGAACGGGTAATGGCAATACTTAAAACTCTGTTATTAAAGTATTTGTTGGAATGGAGGAATAATAGCTTACATTTTGGGGACTAACGTTTTAAGTGTTTTCCCAAAGGAGTCCTGAGGACTGCTGTAGGGGTTTTTTTGTTGTTGTTTTCCTTTTAAGTTAATATTCTAAATTATTGTCTCTTTTTCAGGATAGCATGTGTTAGTGCACCGAGTGTGTACCAGAAACTGAAAGAACAGGATCGTAAAGATTTTTCTGTGTATATACTGGAGTACGACAGAAGGTTTGCTGTATATGGAGAAGAATTTATCTTCTATGATTACAACCACCCTTTGAACTTACCTGAAAACCTCCTGCCACACAGTTTTGACATCGTAATAGCAGATCCACCCTATCTGTCTGAGGAATGTCTTCAAAAAACTGCAGAGACCATCAAATACTTAACAAAAGGAAAGATTCTGCTTTGCACAGGTATAATTAATAAAAGTATTAGGTCACCATTAAGCATCTTTTTCTCTCTCTCAAAAGACAAACTTACTGCATTGAGGAAAATACTAACTCAATAATACCGATTTATCATTAATTCAAGGAGGAATATGTATCCTAAGCTTTTTAATGGAATGCTTCAGTTAAACCTTTATTTTAAACTGAAGGCATGTGGGTTTTAATAGTTGAAGTCAGTTCTTTTTTCATACAGCATTACAAGTTTTACTAAATTTTTGAAGAATTGTAAGATCATCCTGCAAGGTTCCAGAAATATTTTTTTCTTGTAAAAGGGCGTCTCTCTATAATTGCAATGATTGAAATCTGGGTATGACAGACATAGGTGCAACTCATTGTTAATGTCTTATTCAATAACCTTATGATCCAAATTTGTGATTTTTTAAACATGTCAGTAGCTGCGGGATTTCAGCTGCCACATACTGCTTAGCATCTAAGGTGAGCTAAGTAGAAAGAATGACAAATAGGTTGGAATGGCCTTTGCTGAGTAAAGTGAGATGATTTTAACTAAGTCTTGAAGAGAAAAACAAAGTCAACTTTTCTTTGTTTTCATATTACCTGTCCTTACGGGCAAACATAGAAGTTGTAACATGAATGAATGTATGAGGGGATTGTGCCACTGTCATTCAAGTAAGGAGATCTTAGGCACTGAAATACAGCAGGAGGAATTAAAAACCAGTGATAAGAGCAGTGAAACTGGATAACTTGCCAACTGTACTTGCAGGTCCTTCTTTATGAAGATGCACTTGCTGGTTTTAAGAAGCAATTAATATCTGCCTTAGTCATGGTGTTTCTTAAACTGTAACCTTATTACAAAGACATCTGAAGACATCCAGGAAACTTCTGCAAAAAAAACAAAGGACAAAAAAAAAATACGTACAATTCAAGGGAAGCCAACCAAGCAGGCGAAATAAAGAAAAATTAGAATAATATATGTCAATAGAAAGCCTACTTTTTGTTTAATTGCACATGGCCGTCATGCACAAGGATGGTTCACAGAATTTTTTTCCCTGAAATGGATAGGGGGTCCTTCATGAGAAATACTGCTTGAGGAAGTGATTTCTCAGTGCGTAGCTTTAAGTATCGCACTGCAGTTTATTTAAGTGGAAGAGTATATCTAATCTGTTTGCATTTCCCACGGCTCCCTATTTTCTTTGGCATGTAGCAAGAAGATTCAGTTCAAGTTTCTGTTTTCTATAAAAGGGGCACTGATCTTACCCTCTGCCTATTTTTATGAAACTTCTCGGACATTCATTTCCTTGTGGCATCTCCCATTCTTTCAGATTTATTTTAAATTTCCCAGTAGATTCAGTTGTTAAAGAAGGCTGACAGTGTAGCTGCTTTAAGCCTTGCTTCCTTAAAAAGCAGGCTCTATCTATATGCATTTGGAAGGAGCTATTAAAAAAGCCCAAACATTCTGTTACTGTTTTTCTCATCGAATACCAATTATTTTTGCTGTAGGTGCCATCATGGAGGAACAAGCAGCACAGCATCTTGGTGTGAAGATATGCAAGTTTATTCCAAAACACTCACGAAATTTAGCCAATGAGTTTCGATGTTACGTGAACTATGCTTCTGGACTGGACTGATTCTCAGAAGATCTACAACTTCTTCAGTCAAGCTCCTTTCCAGTTTTTATCAGTGACTCCACATTTCTCAATGCTGAAAGATTCAGCTCCAAGTACTGTTTTTTGGGCTAGCTTTAATCAACATGGTGCGATAGCCTCTCTCTTTTAAATGTGTAAACATTTGCAGTTACAGTGTTTTGTATCTCACCTATTAGGTAAATGGGGACCAAACAAAGCAGGTGCTGGATAATGGGGACTTCCCTGTTAGAGTTTCATTCTAACTGGTAGTTTTTAACACTCAAGGACTCTTCAGTGACCTCTCTGAAGTGATTTTAGCTGGTTGGCTTATAACAACACATAGGTGCTGGCCTCACAGACATCTGAATCGTCATTGCATCAGAGCTGATGGGTGAAAGAGCATGAATAGCGGTCTCCTTTCAATCTTGAGAGATGCTCCCTTCGTAAAAGTATTGAGAGATGTTTGTTCTGAACGTGTCACGTGTTTTCAGATTCATTATCTGGCAGGCTGATGTTTTTATAAAGGATAACTAGAAGAGAAAATAGGTCTCCTTCTGGGGAGGCCTCTCCAGTTGCTTTTAATAATAATCAGAGCTACCTACCAGTTGCCAAGTAAGATAAGACCTACTATCCGTTACTGTTGCCAGATTGGCTTTTTAAAAACTTGTGGATCTTGTTTCACCTTTTCTCTAAAGCCTTATCACAAACCCAGACTTTCTTTTTGTAAAGATAAGATCTGTGTTGTCATCACTTACCACCGTATAAACTTGTGTGTGTATGTATGTGTGCTGTACTACAGAAAAAGAAATGTAAGTTGTTAAACGTCTCTTTGCAGAAGTACGGTGCATTTATTTTACAAAGTTTGTGTGTTTGCATACCAGAAAGTCATGAGCTTTTAAAAACCCACAAATCTAGGCTGTTCTATTTACTAGTTAAGCTAATCTCCAGAGGTGGTATAAACCTGATGGCTCCTTGAAAAAAGCACAGTAAGGATTTCCCCATTAGAGAGAGCTTTACTTTCATTAAGAATTCTACACGTTAGTCAGGGCAAATCACCTGGAATACGAAGTAGTTACTAAACAAAAATGCAACACATCAGCCAGTCCTTGCATTGGTGCTTCAGACTGTGTTCATGCGTTCTCACTGTGAGTTACTCTTACTGTTGTTTATGAGATACTTCTGTAGTAACGTGACCCATACGTGTTAGTCCCTTAAATCTTGAATCATAACGGAGCTGATTACATATCATGCCTGCTTCTTAGCAGATTTCAGTGTCAAGCTAAAGATGATTTACAGGTATGTCAAGTTTGTAGTTAGAAGAACAGTCCTTTTTTCCCAGCTGCCCAGTTCTGTGTTTGCCTCCTGTTCCACAGACAGCAGCAGAGCAGTAGAATAGAAGCATCTTAGAAACTGTTGAATCTTGCAAGGCCACTGAGGTATAGCATAATGTATTGATAAACTCCCACTGTTTCTAATAGGCAAATGTTAAATTTTATATACAAGGTTTGGGCTCTGTGTCAATCAATTTCAATCAAAATAGATGATACATTAGAAAACTTTTGCTTTGGGATGGTAGAGATTTTTGGTAACTGGGAATTTCTAAAGCCAGTTTTGTCTAACCTTTTGACTACACTGCTAATGTATTTTGGGTGAAAGCTGGTTCATGAATTCCAAGGCACTCAACAGTTTTGTGAGCTATAAATATACTATACAAAACATAAATACTTGTCATATTGCCATATTTATATACTGGGATTGTGTAAAAGGTTAATGGAAATGCTGCATCGACATAATGAAGCACCTAAAATGAAGTATTAAGAAGTTTATTTTGCGGTGAGGATAAAGTTATTTAAGCTTGTGAGACACGACTTTTAATAAGGTAGAAATAATACTCATGTTTCTGTGCATTTCTGCTGTTTGGATGCAGATTTTCACATCTGGTGGAGTAAACAAATGAGCAGGAATAACATAGCTGGAATATAATCCTCTCTCAACGCTCAGAGAATCGTGCTTCCTGAGCTGCACACAACACTGGTTCATAAATACCCGTCCAAGCCACTCTCTTCCCCATTTTCCAAGAGATCTGTTCACTTCCTAAATCTTTTCCCTCCTCACATTTTACAATGGAATCATAGAATAGAATCAGAATGCTTTGGGTTGAAAGGGACCTTCAGAGGTCATCTAGTCCAACCCCCCTGCAGTGAGCAGGGACATCTCCAACTAGACCAGGTTGCTCAGAGCCCCATCCAACCTGGCCTTGAATGTTTCCAGGGATGGGTGTCCTGGGTTTGGTTAAAATGGAACCAATTCTCTTTTAGTGAATCTTCCTTACAGCTAAGTTCTTCTAAGTAACTGCATCTACCACCTCTCTGGGCAACCTTTGCCAGTGTCTCACCCCTCTCATTGTAAAAAGTGTCTTCCTTATATCCAGTCTAAATTTACTCTCTTTTGGTTTAAAACCATTACCCCTTGTCCTATCACAACAGGCCCTGCTAAAAAGTTGGCCCCAATCTTTCTTACAAGCCCCCTTCAGGTACTGGAAGGCTCCATTAAGGTCTCCCCGGAGCCTTCTCTTCTCCAGGCTGAACAGCCCCAACTCTCTCAGCCTTTCCTCGTAGCAGAGGTGCTCCAGCCCTCAGATCATTTTTGTGGCCTCCTCTGGACCCGCTCCAACAGGTCCATGTCCTTCTTGTGCTGGGGGCTCCAGAGCTGGACACAGGACTCAGGTATCACCAGAGCAGAGCAGAGGGGCAGAATCACCTCCCTTGACCTGCTGGCCACGCTTCTCTTGATGGAACTCAGGATACAGTTGGCTGCCTGGGCTGCGAGCACACATTGCTGGGTCATGTTGAGCTTCTCGTCAACCAACATCCCCAAGTCCTTCTCTTCAGGGCTGCTCTCAATCCATTATCTGCCCAGCTTGTACTTGTGCTTGGGATTGCCCCAACCCAGGTGCAGGACCTTGCCCTTGGCCTTGTTGAACCTCATGAGGTTCACATGGGCCTACTTCTCAAGCTTGTCCAGGTCCCTCTGGATGGCATTCTGTCCCTCAGGCGTGTTGACTGCACCGCTCAGCTTGGTGTCATCTGCATCATTCTGTCACTGATGAAGATATTAAGCAGTACTGGTCCCAATATGGAGCCCTGCGGGACACCACTTGTCACCAATCTCCATCTGGAGATCCACCTCTTACGTCTGCTGCTTGCTCCCCTCTCTCCTCCCCATACAGTGTTCCTGAGTTTCATGACACCAGTTTTCTTTCTCTTTCACACGCCTTGGTTTCTATCAGACTGGTAATAGGTATTGTTAAAATGAGAACAGAGCAGCGGAGGAAGAGCTCGCAGGGAGCATGGGGACCGTGCTCTCCTGACAGTCTCTGTGAGCCCACAGCCAGTGCAGTTTTGCCTTGCAAACCAGAAGCCACCCTTGCTGCTGAGCCCAGTACAGTGAGAACCTTCGCCCCCTCCCGAAAATGACTGTCCACAGGTGACTTACAGCTGGGTTTAGCTGTTTTCCTGGAGGCTACACCATTACTTTTTATGTGGCCAGTTTCAAAATGAAGCAAGCCAGAATGTTAAATGCATAGGTACTGGCACAAATCTATACTGCACAATTGTAAACTGGTTTATATTTATTACCTCAGTATCTTGCACACCAAGCAGATGGAGACAATGAAGTAACTCTTGAAACTTTAACTGTATAGAGGCTTCAAGTGGGACAGGTATGATTGCCAGAAGCGATGTTATTCTCCCCTCCCCCTCCCCCCCCCATTAGAACGTGCTGTTCAGATACAAGCTGCACCTATGTTGCTGCTTTGCTATTAATTTCTTCAGTTGTCTGCTTCATTTTGTTGCTGGGCTCCCTAGCTCAGAATTAAAAAACAACTTCACTAACTTCGTCAGAGACCTTTCTTAAAAAAAAAAAGTACACCATTCAGCTGTACCAAGAAATTCAGTTCACCAAGAAAGTAACCGCTGCTTCTCATATGGGTCAGCTGGCTGTGAAAAGAGGCACTGTGAGGACGCATGATTATGAAAATGAGGGGACATGTAAATAAATCTGCGTGGATGCACTCAACAGAGCAGCCCGTTGTCCACCAGCTTCTCTCCTAAAAGCCTGGTGAGCACAGGCAGCCGCCCAAGCAGAGCTTGACTAGTGGCATTCACAGCCTTCAGCAATGATAGGTGACAAACTGGTTTTGCCATACTTGTTTCCAAGGAAGTAGCTGCCTATCTGAGGTAGCCTCAGTGGCAAAAATTCATAGTGAATTGTACTTTGTGCGGTCGCAGTAACTTTAAGAAACATTATGTGGCAGTAAAATCTCTCTTTTTCTGTAATAGGCTTATGAAAAAATTCATTGTCAAATAGTGATTGGCTGGCTTTGTCGTGGAGGTCTCACAGATGGACGCTCTACTGGAACAGAGTGTGGTGAAGTGTCGTCACCACGCTACTCTGCCAGTGGCATCTACAGCTGCAGAGCCCTGTGTGCTACAGCCTCTCGGCTGCAGTAACAGGCCCTGTGCAGCAGCAGGACGTCGCAGTGCCCGGCTGTCCACAGGAGTGGGACACGGCAGAGGAAACCTGAGGTGTTGTGCGCAGGCTGATGGCTGTAGGTGGAAGGGAACATACTGCAGCTGCCTGCACCTCACCCCAGGTGACAGATGAAACATTTCTAGCAGTGCTGTTGCAGGCAGCCCAAGGTACTGCTTCCACTCGGATCTAGTCTGCACTTCCCCTTGAAAATGGTGCTGCTCTCAGCTTGGTGTTGCACAGTGAGCCTGTCTGTACGACACAACAGCCGTCACCCCTCCGCCCACGCCCCTCTGTACCAGAGCAAGTGGGAAAGCTCTCTTCTTTTCTTGTCACTCTCCCCCAGTTACCTGTGCGACGCAGCTCCAGCGCCGTGCAGTGAGGTGGGGAACGGGGTGGCTGGGTTCAGGCTGCAGAAGCCCCTCGACAGCTGGTGTCAGGGCTGTGCTGCCGCTCCGGTCTCATCGTGGCCTGAGCCTCCCTAGATGGGAGACCAGCAAAAACCAAGCGATAGCTCGTGCCACTACTCAGCAAGACACACAGGATTGGGCAGCTCTCCCTCATGTGCCCTAGTCCTGGTGGTTATTCCAGTAGCTGTTCCCTAATCCCAGCGAGATTAACGGGTGTTTATACTTTCTGAGCATTTACTTTTCCTGTTTGCCCTTGCTGCCTTCATGTTCATGTTCCCCCATGCGATTTCAGGTTTGCTTGCAGCTGTAGACCTCCGCCTTTCAGACAAACGCCTTCATGTAAGGACTGGCTAGTAAACCAAAACTCGCATCTTAGGCTTTCCTCAGCCTTCCTGAATGATGTGAATTTTCCAACCTATCTTAAGTGATACCACAGAGAAGAAAATAATCTCTTTACCAAGGATATTGTTCTGTGTTTTGTGGCTCCTAATGTATTCCAGGGACAACCTCACTGAAGGAAAAGATTTTCCTGGCACAACAAAAATTTTCTCGAATCAGCTGCAGCTGCCAGATAGTTTCAGCTTTGAATTGTTTGCATTTATTGGGCCTGGAGTTGGTTCAATGAGGCATTTCATGTCTGCCTTGTGTCAACAGTTTGTGAGCCTTGAAGCAACTCCAGTGAACCCCCCTCCCCTCATGCAAATTAAAGGCAAGGCTGCAGCAGCTGTAACCAGAGGACTAGAAGCTGGAAAATGTCACACCACAGCTGAAGTGAAACTGATATAAATCCATGATGTGATGATCTCTTTAAAAAAAAAAAAAAAATTCAAACAAACGCAAACTACATTTAATACTCAGCCTTTTCCACATGAGTAATGTGGAGGGGGTTTATATGCGGAAGGATATTTTGAAGGTTAGCAAATGTTTGTGTAGCTAATAGTTCTTGATGTTAAGTATTAACAAACAGTTGTTCACTAACAAATTATTATCAAACAGTTGCTCACACTAAAGCATAAACAGAGCTTTAAAGAGACACCTAATGGAAAGCTGTATCGGGAAGCAAACTGGCTCCGCTAAAAAGTCTGCCTCAGAAGAGGCTGAGGAATAAAACAGGAAAATGGGCTTCTGAGTAAGATAACACGAGGTTGCCTGTAACCATAGGAAGCTTTCTGCACTTGTTGCAGTATGATGAGAAGGAGGTCGTCAGCGTACATAATCTATTGATCCCCTGAGGTTTTGCAGTTCTCTAACACTTTCCTTTCAGTCATCCAATTCCTGAAGCTATATGAAGCTAAAGCATCTGCTTTTCTGGACTGGCGAAACCCACTGTGTTCCATTTACCTGATCTTAGCCTGCGACTCCCAGCAATTCCCAGAACATGCTCTAGTTACTTGAAAACCTCAAACTGACTCCATAATTTATGCCTGCAAGACAAGAGAGTTGCAACAGAAAGTGACTTTTTTTTTTCCCTCCACATGATGCAAATAAATCCATGTGCTCCAGTAACTGATTTGTTGCAGACAAATTTGTAGAACAAAAGTGCGTGGGCGGAGAGCTGAGTTTCGCTGAAGGGCAGTGTTTCACCAGAGCTTTAGCTGGTAGCCCTTCCAGGTATTTGCTAAATGTTAAGGCTGTGTGGTTTGGGATTTTTTATTGTTGTTGTTGCAGTTTTTTACTGCCTGTTACTGGGAAGACTTTACTTTCTATGCTGTGGGGTACGAAGGTCCAACTTCACCCTGCCTGAAGTGTGTGTGTGGAGAAAAAACCCCCACAATTTATTACTGAAACTGCCAGTGGTTAGACTGCTGAAGCATTATCTAATGCAGTGTTTCTCCAGTTTTGTGGGTCTGCTTCCCTTTTGAGCCCCCCTGTTTTCAACTACCATTCCCCTCTTCTCAGAGGGTCAGAAGTTCTTCCATCTGAGGAGGAAGGAAAACTGGATGTAATTGCTGCAAGTATTTGCAGTCTCCAGGGAACAGGTAACTACCTTTAATTGCTGGCAGCAGCTATGCAATTAGCTGTTCTCTGAGCAGTATAAACACTTTATGACTTTCTTTGAACCCTCCTTTGAGAATTCCCTTGAGATAGAAGCATCACAATTTGAAGAAACACAGATCTGAAGACAAGTGGAACTGTGAAAAAGCATCTGCACAAGAAACACGGTTATAAACTTCAATCTGACATTGTGATGGGAATCTTTTATTGATTTCTGGAGTTCCTGAAGTCGTTTTAGGCTTTGTAAGAAGCTATACAGATTGAACTACAAAAATACCACTATACTAGACTGAGTCATAAGACCACAGTCAATAATTATGCACCAAGACAAGGAGCTGTCATATGATTTTCATTCTCCATTTAACTTGTTAATTCTGTTTGGCTCATAGTCTTTCCATTCTTCATCCAACGACACTCCAAAGAAGTGTGTGTTTGTGTAGCACAGGGACTTCTTCCACTACGAATTAAGCCCAGTTTTGAGATTCTTGATGTAGCAAATACATTGCTGTATATGGTGTTTATTCTTTTTTTATAATGACATTGCAGTCATGATTCTTCTACTGTAAAAGATATTCTCTGCTGTGCATTCAGAGATTTATCAGCTTTGGTGATTGTGGCCCTCTGAGGAGCTACGTTTGTGCAAGGCATGCCTGGTTATTCCTGATTATCTTTCTCTAGACTGAGTTAACCTTCAGTCCCTTGCTCTGGAAATGCGCGTTTTTGTGTATTTAGGGTTGGCTTGCCATCAAGTTCCTGTAAGCTGCAAAGATGGAAGACAGCTCTTCCGCAGGCTAGCTAATATTTTGCAGGTGATTGTCTGTTAGGTGTAGCATAATGAACAAATTGTATAAATCAGTTGGATTCAACAAGTTTGGATTGGCTGGGACTCACCTCAGTGAGCTCTGTAGCATCTAGAAGTTAAGATTTAGGCTGTTTACTCAGCTGCAGTGTACCTGAGATGAAGCCTACCCTTCGTACTTCATTTTTTAATGGGGAATCTCCTCTCCTAACATAGAAAAGATTTTGTCCTTTTAACTGTACAGAACACAGTTTTGTCACAAGGAATATTTAAGCAGTTAGTGATGAATGAAATCTAATAAAAAATTGTTGGGACCCAAATGTGTTTTTTCTAATTGGTATTTTCTGTGCGCCCACTGCAGTTTTACAATATTCTAGCACGCTTTTTCCCAACACTCTTGTACCTTTAGCAATTTGGCAAGTTTAAAAATACTAAACTCATAGAATATTGTTTCATGAATGACTCAAACTCAGCAAAGGTTTCCTTGCAGTAGTGTATAAATAGCCAAAGATCTAACAGCCAAGAACACTGCTTGGAGTTGAGATATGCAATATAAAGGAAGGCTCTCCTAGCCTAAGAAATTATCCTTTTAACTGCTGATTTGGCACATATATGGCAGCTATGTGATTTTTATATAAGAGTATTTAAAAGTAGAGTATAAGAGACTCCTTAAAAATATCTACAACCAGTAGTCTGTTATAGTAATAGCTAGCATGTCTTACAGTTGCATCACCTTCTAAAATTTAGTATGAATAAGCAAGAATAAAATGTTCTGCTCTAAGGAAAAGAAAAAAAAAAGCTACATTGAAATTTGCAACAAATACTTACATGAACTAAAGAAGTTCTTAATATGAATTGTCATCTCTAATAATCTGAGCGACCAGACCAAACTTTCCATTTTATAACCGAAATAGCTGTAAGTAGAACAAGAGGGTAAGTCGATGTGTTTGGTGCTGTGGTAAAAACGATGATGTGAAACCAACACTGTAACACAGCTCCTTATACATTCTTCATTCTGATGATGGCTTGTTCTGGCTTACCAGTAACTTCATTTCTTGCTTATCTATGCTCGAATTTACGCTTTCAGCCTCTTTTTCTTGCTCAGGTACACAAGTGCAGCCCACTGGGATAGTGACATAATCTTCTGTGTAGACATAACGGCCCCCAGCACATGACGACGTGCGACGGAGGATGACTGTTGGCATGTACACAGGGGTGCTGCGGAAGTGAAAATTCTCCTCGCCAAAGATCCCCATGAGGCAGCCTTTGCACAGACAGTACGCTTCAGGAATGTATTTAGGATATCTTGTGGGGTCATATGAAATTCTGTAGGGAAGCAAATAATAAAGATTAATTAGTATCTGTAAAAATAGATATATTAATCTGGAAAACATTATTATAATGTGACCTGACTGTAAGCATTTATAGAGTGTTTTTGTTTTCTTTGCCAGCTAAAATAGCTGTAGCTGTTCTGTCTGGCTTCTTATTTGTAATGTGTAAAGAAAAAAACATGAACAACTTACAGAACTGATCAGGTCCTACAGTGCACGCTGAAGTATGAAGTGACTGGCTTTCTAAAATGTGAGATTCAGGGGTTTAAGCAGAATAAGTTTTGCATTTTGGACTGAATGGGTAAACGGAGCATTAAAAATGACATTGAACATTTCCAAACTTTTCATCTGTCTTGAGTTCTTCAAACATTGGTACAAGTACTTGTTAACATTATTAGTGTTGATGATATGACATGATGTTTTAAAATTTTGTAATTTAAATAGAATTAAATTGTACTACTATCTCTGCAATAGTTTTTGCTCCCTAGTATACTTGGAGTTATAAAGGTGCCTTCCTCTTGAAAGCAGAACTCTGTATTTCTTTCTCTAATTCACCTCCACTGTCTCTTCCTCTGACCAGACAAAAGTAATATTTGCATGCCCACACTGAGATAAACTGCAAAGTTAGTGTTTTTCCTGCCCTCTCCTGCTACATTTTGAAGTAAAGCATTGCCCTAAAGCTTCAGGAGTACAGCCTCCTATGGTCTGTTGTCTTACAATTTGTTTGACCCTTTCTTTTTGTTTATTAATGCCCTGTCTCTAGAAATTCCTGATTAGCAGGAGCTGAAAAGCTTGTAACCTAAGTACAGCTTGGACTGACAAAGTCCAAGCTCCAACATTCCTCTCTGGATGTTGTTGGACGCGGAAACAAAGATGTGATACTGTGGTCTAAAGTCATGCAGATGCTGGCTGACCTGTAGCCATTGTTTTTAGCAAAGAAAGTAAAAACTGATGAAGTTTGCTTGTTTTTTGAAATAAAACACTAAGTACACAATGGAGTACGTGTACTGGAGTATGTAGCCATGCTGCTGATCATGGCAGTGATGTATTTGTTGCTTTTTCTTAACCCACTTTTCCTGCTTATTCTGGAAGTAATTGCTGGGCATGCTGTAACTTATACATGATTACAACTGTGTGCCATTATTCTAGAAAAGATGTTTCCACCTCCAGAAAAAGAGAACTTTTTAGTATGTTTAACTCCTATGCCAGCTGCCCTCTTTGTACCTGTAAGCTTTTTCCGGATCACCTTCTTCTCTCACACAGTTACAGAACTAGCCCTGCCCCAGCAGCGGCTGCACTGTCCAGCTGGAGAGGCATGACGGCTCGCTTCCGCTGGAAAAGCCAGTGTTCAGCCCAGGAGCACCGCCAGCCGCCCCGCGGTGCTCCTCCTGCAGAGCACGTCCCTGCTTTGGGAGGATGCTGACCCCCCAGCATGCCATCAGAAGCCCTTACCTGCCTGTCAGCTGACAGAAACCCCTTCTCTGCTCTTTCCCCCTGCTCCTCCTTCCACACAGGAGACGGTCAGACCTACACACGGTGCGCAGCAGAAATCTCCTCCAGGCTCTTACTGGCATGCAGAGGGCAGGAAGACACGTTGGGAGGTCACCTAGTACAAATGTCTCCATCAGGCAAACTTGGATGTATTTGCCCATGTTTGTCCAGCCTGTTCTTAAAAACCTCCAGAGGAGATCTCCAGCCTGCCCAGAGGCTCTGTTGCGGTATTTCACCGCCTCTTCGTTTGTTAAGATTTCCTAAGGGTGAAGCAGAGCATTTTTTTCTTGCAAACTAAATCAACAACTTCCCATGTTTGGATGGGAAATTACAGCAGCTGGGGCTAAAAAAACTGCACAGCAGTCAAAGATTTTATGTGGGGCAGAATGTTCAAGCCTGTAATGTTCACTGTGATGTGAAGCGCTGCAAAAACGGTAAAAATTCTTGCACTGGGTTTTAAGCTATCCTCTGCTTGGGATCAGGATGGGACTACCACAGCAGACGAAGTGGGGCAACTACATAAGAAAACTGAATAAATTAATTAATTTGGCTGAATAGCAGAACTCAGAGGGTTGTCATCAGCGGCGCTGAGTCTAGTTGGAGG